CAGGTGCCAGGTGTTCCTGCAGCACCGCTCACCTTTCGCGGACAGACAGACAGGTGGCCACACACGTGCACTCCTGAGTCGGAGTGGAGAAGTGCGCTTCTCTAAAAACTTCCCATTTGTAGTAAAGGGCGGATGGCTCTTTAACAAGCCTTCCAGAGCCTTTGTAGAGCTGAGGCAGCACCCGTGTCCCTGAGCCTCCCGATTCCCTGAGACCTCGGAGCCTCAGCCCCCAGGACACCTGATCCATGCGTGTCCCTGGGCTCCCCGGCACTGGGCCCCTTCAGCACCACCCTAGCTGCCACATGGGCACCTTTGCCACAGAAGCCCCGCGGCCATGAACCCCATCGAAGGTCCTGTCAGACAGCGGCTCCCGGCATTGCCCTTGGCTTGTGGGCTGGTCCCTCCCCTCCTGGACTTTGGCTGCTCAGGGCAGGGACCACTGTGTCTTCAGTGCTCAGCAGCCAGAAGACACTTGGTGAAGGCTGCAGGAATGATGCAGAGCCTCCGTAACTGTGGGGCAGGAGGGACCAGGCGCTTCGCAGTGCGCGGCCTCTGCTGGGTGGAGCCCCGAACACGGAGAAGGCAGCGAGGGCCCCCTGGGTGGGGCCCCGAACACGGAGAAGGCAGCGAGGGCCCCCTGGGTGGGGCCCCGAACACGGAGAAGGCAGCGAGGGCCCCCTGGGTGGGGCCCCGAACACGGAGAAGGCAGCGAGGGCCCCCTGGGTGGGGCCCCGAACACGGAGAAGGCAGCGAGGGCCCCCTGGGTGGGGCCCTGATCGTGGAGGAGGCAGCGAGGGCCCCCTGGGTGGGGCCCTGATCATGGAGGAGGCAGCGAGGGCCCCCCGGGTGGAGCCCTGATCGTGGAGGAGGCAGCGAGGGCCCCCTGGGTGGAGCCCCGATCGTGGAGGAGGCAGCGAGGGCCCCCCGGGTGGAGCCCTGATCGTGGAGGAGGCAGCGAGGGCCCCCCGGGTGGAGCCCTGATCGTGGAGGAGGCAGCGAGGGCCCCCCGGGTGGAGCCCTGATCGTGGAGGAGGCAGCGAGGGCCCCCCGGGTGGAGCCCTGATCGTGGAGGAGGCAGCGAGGGCCCCCCGGGTGGAGCCCTGATCGTGGAGGAGNCGATCATGGAGGAGGCAGTGAGGGCCCCCCGGGTGGTCAGAGAGCTGCTGCGCGGTGGAGACGCTTATTGTTACTCCCCCAGCCATGCCTCTCAGCAGGCTTGAGAGAGTGAACAGCACAGAAACCCTGCTCCTATGTTTGTAGCCATAACAGCTGGGTCGGTTTTTATTGTTTGAAATCACAGATATATCTGTATATACACATACATACATAGACAGACAGGTGGGTGGGAGAAAGCAGGTTTATAGTTATAATACAAATAAATAATACAATAATTAATAAATGGTAATGCAAGAATGAACTCTGTTTTGCGTACTCACAACTGTAAACCTGTTGCCAACCCATATATATACACACGTGTGTGTGTGTGTGTGTGTATATATATTTGCTCAATTGTAACCACCTTTCACCCTGACATTTCTGACACTCGTTTATTTTTATAAGGTAGGAGTGGAAATATATAAAGTGACATACAGAGAAGTTGGNACGTGTGTGTGTGTGTGTGTGTGTGTATATATATTTGCTCAATTGTAACCACCTTTCACCCTGACATTTCTGACACTCGTTTATTTTTATAAGGTAGGAGTGGAAATATATAAAGTGACATACAGAGAAGTTGGCTACTTTTTTTAGATCCACAAAATGTGGTGGTGCATCCTACTGTGCTTGAAGACCTGTCACTGGAAAATTTTTATAAATGTTTCTGATAAGCTAGGAGAATGCAGCCTGAGAATTAGCCGTGAGGACAGAGCCCCCCCCACGGCTCCCTCGCCGCCGCCTCCTCCCAGCCTTAACCACCAAAGGGTCCACGTCCGTGGTTAGAGAAAGTGCAGCTTGAGCCGGCAGGTCCCTGAGCGCCCAGAGGACTTTGTGCCGAGACAGCGACCTCACGGGCATCCTGCAGCTTTGATGTGCGACCTCCCTGTATGTGAATATTTAACTGGACAGCATACCTCATCATATGTTTAAATTTTATCTCAGAAGCACATTTGAAATATGCCGCTATTTTCTTTAAAAAGATTAGTATCCCCCTGAGGGAAAGAGCGGCGCTGGCTGTGAGGTGAAGTCCCGGCGGCCGCGGGTGCCGTGACCATCGGTGCAGTGGGGTCTGCGCGGCGTGGCGTGTTCACCGCCCAGGGACCTGTGCCGCCTTTTTAGGGGGGTTGCTCACAGATCAGACATCATGATGCCCGTGCTCTTGTTTCTCCCTGGGGTTTGAAAAATGAAACTTTGCATTAGTGGTAAATTCACAAGCTTGTGGCATGAAAATGTTTCAATTCGGTATAAAAGAAGTTCTGAAAGGAAGATTAGGGGTTTAAACCAAAAGATTAGTTGCCTTGGGAAGTTGAGCTGTGGAAGCCGATTCCGTCAGAGGAGGCCCCCCCAGCCCACTGCCGCGGTCCTGCTGCTGTGCCTGCGTCTCGCCGGCGGCCTGCCAGCGGGGTGGTAAATCTCATCATCACCGGTCTAGAGCCCATGGGGTTCCTCTGCTTTAGACACCCTCGTCTGTGGTCCCGTGGAGTCCTCTGCTCAGCGGACGTGGATTATTATTTTTATTCACAGTTGCTATAAGTGGAGGAGAAGTGGGAGCCAGTGCACAAACTACAGTGCCCAGCCGAGTGCCCGCTGGCAGAGTCACAGACTAGGTGGGCCTGACGTTCATGGCATCTGGTGGTTGATTCCTGCCCCTCTGCCATGAATGAGTTTCTGGTGGTAGAGCCTCCAGTTTCCACTGTGAGCAGATGTTAACCCCATGGCAGTCCACTCCTGGTGGTGGGAAGCCTGTTCCCACGGGACGTGGCCCCACCTCACAGCGTCTAACCCCCAGCTTCCCTGCGCTGGTGGCTCTTCTGGATGAGCACAGATGATCTTCACAGTGGACAGGAGAGTAAATGCGTTCACGTTATACCCGAAAACCGCAGGAGTCCACTTGGGAAAGTGACTGCTGCATTATAAAATTATGATGTTGCCTGGAGAGAGCATTAAGTCCATCCCTCTCCTCTGGGCGGACCTTAAATCTGTGTTACCCAGACAGACGGGCCTATCTCTCTTCACTAATGATTCATGTTCTCTTTAAAAGTATGTGAAAATGGAAATGTCAGGTTTCCTTAGTAATTCATCCCAGGGTCGCCTTGTGATGATCATTGTAAGAACACAGCAGCTCGTCTCTGCTCATTTTCCTGAGGAAGGGAGATCTTTTAGTTATGATGGGGGAAACAAGTGGGCACGTGCAAATGCACAATGCACACACGTGAACACACACGTGCACACATGCACACACACAAATGTGTGCACACACGCAGTGTGCACATGTACCCACATGCACACACATGCTCACACACACTACTTCAGAGAGCACCAGGTGGACCCAGCTGGCTTTTTCCCAGGCCAGAGTCTGATCCTCTTATCGCAGAGATAACTCAATCATTTTTGTCTTTATGGACCTTCACAGACTTTTTCTGTTCCACTTAAGGCACATAAAGTCACAGGCTTTCGTGGGGGTCTGTGCCAACCTGAATACTAATCCTTCTGTCTCTCTTGCTTTCTCCCGAGCTTTTGCGTGTTGCTACCTTTATGCCTCCTTTAACTTCACGATCTGTGTATATGTCAGTGCTGGGCTCGGAAGGGTGACTGTGCTGTTTGACCGTGTTGTTCTGTGCATTGGCTAATCTACGTTAAAAGTCCTGCAGTAGTAATTTTCACGTAGACGCTTAAGATTCTGCCCTTCGTCCTGGGATAAATGTTAGCATCTGTGCTCGCCACAGCTCTGCAGCCGCTTGCCTCGCAAGGTGCTTTGCTTGCCTGTTGTATGGAGCTGCCTTTATGAAGAGTCCTCCTGCTGACAGCACCCAGTGTCGTTTCTGCACAGTCCAGGCATGTTTAGTAAGCTGTGAATTCCATGAAAAAAATGAAGTACGGCATCNGATAAATGTTAGCATCTGTGCTTGCCACAGCTCTGCAGCCGCTTGCCTCGCAAGGTGCTTTGCTTGCCTGTTGTATGGAGCTGCCTTTATGAAGAGTCCTCCTGCTGACAGCACCCAGTGTCGTTTCTGCACAGTCCAGGCATGTTTAGTAAGCTGTGAATTCCATGAAAAAAATGAAGTACGGCATCGTTGGCATTCAAAACCATCGCATCGAATATTAAATTGATGCTTTGTCCATTGCAAAACCAAATTCACATTCTCAAGTGTCTTCCTCGAAGTGCGTATTCTTCAAAAAGATGTATTTCTCGTGACTTATTCTTTAGGATGCTGGGACCGTAGGAGGTGGCATTTCTTTTCCTGTCATCAAGTACAGTGCAGGTGGCAGGACATTAATAAAACCTGTGGCTCCGCCAGCCCCAGGTACCAAAGCTGCGGCCACCGAGTTCAGCTTTATCAGTGGGCCTGGGTCCTGAGAGTGGGTGACTCGGCCGGAGTGCCCAGCAAACAGCGAAGCTCGACACACGGCCGAGGACTGGAGCCTAGAAACGCACTCAGGACGCAGCTCGGGGCACGTGACGCGCAGCAGGAGCACAGCCTCTTGGGCCAGGGTGAGGGTTGGGTTCTACCTTCGAGGGACGCATTCCCGCCACAGCCCTCACCCCTCACCGCGTCCGTTCCGGCGTGTGTGGGAGTGAGAGCGGGGTGACTCGTGGCCTCTGTGTGTTAATTCTCATCCGGGTTCCTTTTTAAAGCACGGAAGGCTATAGGAGGACACTTCCCTTCAGAGCCCGGGGTTAGACCCTGTGTGACTGTGGGAATAGAAGGCCTAGGCACTCCACAGGCTGGTATGGGCAGAGGTCGCCCGCTGTGCCCCTCTGATAAATGAGGATTAATCCTCCGTGGGAGCGGCCAGGACGAACTTGTCAGGTGCTTTCCGGCAGAGCTCTCCATGAGCCCTCCGTGTTTGAGGTGCCACCTGGTATCCAGGGTGTCGCACGTTTCAGAGAATCAAGGGCTGTCGTTTCTACTCTTTGAAACCAGGTCTGTTTGAACAGGTGATTCATTGATTGGATGAGGCTGTTTTCATGCACTTTATTCAGTTTTTCTTCTTCCTCTTTATTTAATATTTCAGATGACGTGGTGCCATACTTTAAGACAGAGCCGGGCCTGCCGCAGACGCACCTGGAGGGGAACCGCCTGGTCCTCACCTGCCTGGCTGAGGGGAGCTGGCCTCTGGAGTTCAGGTGGCTCCGTGACGACAGAGAGCTCACCCCCTACTCCAGCGAATATAGGTAACTGCCCGCCTGTAACACGATCGCGTGTCAGGTAGATGTGCTTGGAAGAGCCACCTTGTTGGCCTCCGTAGTGCAGGGGGGAAATACTAAATTTCTGCTGCACCGAGGATTGAAGGAATAGATTGAGCACATACCTAGAACGGGACTTACTACTCTGATGTAGGTTGTATTTGCACCTTGGAGGTCTCATTGTATCTGTAAAACCAAGCCCGGTAGTGAAATTGCCAGACCAGAAAAGCTATTGTAGGAGAGGAACACAAACAACCGCTTCAACATGGAAACCTGCATTCTCTGGCCACAGCCCAACCCCAGTCAGGCTCCTGCCTGAGGAGCACATGTGCAGCTCCAAGGAGTCGAGGAAACTTCCTTGGCGAGCTGGCGGACTTGGGGTGGGAGCGATGGGGCCCTGGAGGGTAGGTACCAGGAGGGCATCTGCATTCAGCAGCAAAGCTCACCGCCAGGTGCTGGGTATGGGTCCAGGGGTGAGTGCTGTGCTGGGGGACCGAGTGCTAGGGCAGAGACGGGGAATCCTGAGGTCAGGCTGTGACTGAGCTGTGGCCTCACCCGGGGAGCAGCAGCTCCAGCTCACAAGCCTCAGGGGTCTTTCCAGATTCATGTCTGTTTAACCTCCGTTTCCATGTGAGGGTTGTTGTGCCAGATGCTGCTGTTCTGGGGGGAGACAGAGGATTGGTGGCTCCCTAACAAGTCCAAAGAACCCCACACAGCGCAAACCAGCAATTCCATGCTCCTGTTCAAATGAAATAGGAAAGAGAATGGGCTTTCTGGAGGGTTTTGTTTTTTAATTTTTTACATGCTTTTTAAAAAAATTATTTTAGAGAGGGGGGAGGAGGAGAGAGAGAGACATCAATGAGTTGTGAACCTGAAACTGGGGTATTTGTCCTGACCTGAATCCAACGAGTGACCTTTCAGTGTGTGGGACAATGCTCCAGCCAACTGAGCACCCTGGCCAGGGCTCTGGAGATGTTTTAAATAGAGCAATGAGCTTCTCAACAAGGGGCATGGCCCACCACTCTGAGCCTCAGAGGTTCTAATAGGTTGACCCCTGAACCCCATTCTGTCTGTCTGCAGTTTGGTGTGTGTATGTGTAAAAAAAAGCAATTTAAAAGTATATGTGGATATACACACAGAATGGATTTCTTACTTGATCACCAGCATTTGATGACAGTACAAAAATGGCTTTCCAGCTCCTCTGACCAGCCATGGCCCCCACACAACACAGGCACTGGCAGCTCTGCCCCTCGGTGGAGGCAGGGCCACTCAGTCCTCTGCACTCCGTCAGAGTGCCTGTGCTGGGAGCGATTTGTCACAGTGGTAAAGAGTTCGGTGACCTAGAGCGGACCTGGGTATGAATCCCCGCTCCCCACCAGTTAGCATGATGGAAGACCTCAGGCAGGGTGCCCTTGAGCCCCACCTTCAGCATCCGCAGAGGGCAGTCACACCTCACTGGTGCCATTGTCAGCTGGGAAAGGCTCTAAGGTGTGTCCATAGCATGTTGTCCAGCCATGGCTCTGTGTGAGTAAGTCCCGGGCGACATTGTGTGTTACTGTACTGCCTGCTGTCAGAGCAGATGGGCCTGCTCTGTCAGGAGGAGCATAAGGAATAGAGTGAGCTTGGAAACGAGGACCCTGTATGAGCCAGGGGCTTTAACAGCAGACGACCTGAGTTCAGATACTTCTCTTCAGCTTCCTATCTGTGTGACTTTGGACAAGTTATCTAACCAGAGAGATCTCACTTTTCTCATTTGTAAAATGGGTATAACAAAGCCCACCTCAGAGGAGTCTCGTGAAAACCAGATGACAGCGTCATGGTGCCCCAGGAAGAAAGGGATGACGTTATAAGGGATCCAGATTGTTCACCCTAATAAGAAGGAACGATTGGATAATCTGTAAGTGTCTCCACACTGGGTGTTGCACGGACAGTGGCAAATGGATGGTTTTCTAGATCCTCAGTTTCCACTTGCTCATTTTCTGAAATTGAGCTGCCTGAGAAGACGCCTGGGTGTAGGCACCTGCCAGTTCTCTTGTCCGACCTCTCGTGTCACGACAGAGGCCACCTCCCATCTGAGACTTCCTGCCCAACTCCACCTCGGGACACCAGACAAACACAGTTCCAAATATCTGGCTTAACCACACAATATTGGGCCCTTTTAGACAAGCACAGAAGAGCTTCCTGCCTTTCATTCTATACACGTTTCTTGTAAGTGCAAAGTAAGACTCTAGAAGTGGGACATTGGACCAGCCTTGGAGCTTTTTCTCAGTTTCGATGTGCTGTGCAGTGGGCAGCCAGCGCCATGCCAGGCTCGGCTCACCACCTTACCCTCTCTACCCCACCTGTCAGCAGAGAGGATGCTGAGCCTTGAGGATGTTCAGCGAGTGCAGGGCTGAGACGGCACCTGCAGGAAACGCCACAGGCGAGGGCGCCTGCTTCTTCGGGGCAAGCCTGCGGCACTGCTCTGTGGCTCGTCGCTTACATACATTAGAATTGGAATACCCAAGATTTGTTTGAAATGTAAAACAAGTTGAAAATAGTCTTCTATGGCACACTCTGCCTGCGTTTCGCCTCACTCAGTTACAGATTCCAGGGAGGACAGGTAACAGGTTCCCTTTACACTGCAGATCCAGGTTCTGTCTTTTTACTTTTTAACCCTCACCCAAGGATATTTTTTCCATTGCTTTTCAGAGAGAGTGGAAGCAGGGGGAGAGGAAGAGAGAGAGAAACATCGATGTGAGATGTGAGAGAGAGACATTGATTGGTTGCCTTCCGCATGCCCGGGGCCGGGGCTGGGGTCGAGCCTGCAACTGAGGTAAGTGCCCTTGACCGGAATCGAATCCAGGACCCTTCAGTCGACTGGCTGACGTTCTAACCACTGAGCCAAGCTGGCCAGGGCCGTGTTCTGTCTTGATGTAGGAGGAACACACAGGACGGGAAGTTTGTGCCTCATGTGTCTTCAAACATTTGTGCAGAAGACAGTCTCATTAACGTTCGCAATGAAAGAATATTCGCTGTCTAGGCCCCTGTCCATTTTTACTACTTCATTGTGCTTCACTGTGGCCAGGCCCAGCCTCCTCTCTGCTTGTTTGTTTATTTCTCTCTCATAGTCATTTTATTTAAATGAACTGCATGCAGACTTGTGGTCAGACTTTCTCTTCCTTTTGATGTTAGTTTCTGTATAATTCTGTTCATTCTAGTACTAAATAGCTTTCCACTTAATGAAATGTAAAGTAATTAAAAAAAATCAGTCACTTCCATCTCATGGAGAAACACATTTCCTTTCTAAGTTCTAATGCTTAGTCAGTATTTTTCAAAATATGTAGCACATTTGTTGTGTTTTGATTAATAGCGAACATGTAACCCAGAAGAAAGTTTTTTAAAGGCACTTTGAGTCTTTTGGTCAAAGAAACATCTCTTTAAATTGTATTTATATGTATATTTTTATTTCAGAGAAGTATCATGGGAAATCAATGTGTATCTTTAAGGCATAAAAATCTGTTACATTAGAATAAATTTCTGTGGGGTAAATAGATTAACGCTCAGCTTCAAAGAGGTAAACAAACAACGAGAAAGTTGTACTGGCTGCGTAATTCATTTTAAAAAATGGATACGGTGGGTGTCAAAGTCACTATGTTATTTAGATTCCACTGGATACATTTAAACAGTGGAGTATCAGTTTCGTTCTAGAACATACATAGCAACTGTTTAAACTTACAGCAAAATGATTTTGGTGTGAACTTAAATATACGGGAGGAGATGGACTCTGCGTTGCTCTCTGCACCAGCGAGTGCACCTGTTAATTCAGTGCGCTCCGGCTAGTCCGCAGGAGACAGTGGGCTGTGCTGGAGCCAGACCGGGGGTGGCTCGTTACACACGGACCATTAGAACAAGCAGATGCTCCGCCACCACCTCACCGGGAGCTCGATAAGAAGAGATGGGTTTTCCTGAAGCAGAATGATTTGGGGCAGACGTGATAAATTATATTCTGTTCACCGAGGGCTTCAGACCCTGAGATGGGTTATCAGGGATCCATCGTGTTTTGTCATCATTTTTTTTCAAGCTATAAGACCTGTCTAAAAATCTCATGCTGTTTTTTTCAAATTACTCTTTCATCTCCTTACTGCCAATAAACACCTTCAGCTGTCAGGCATTAACCTCCACGAGCCCGCTCCAAGTCTCAAATTGAAAAGCACGGGACCTCGCAGAAATGGGAGCTGTTTCCTGCCTGAAATTGAATCCCTACCTCCCCACCCCCATGTTTGGTGTCCGTTATGGAAATGCTAACCCTATAAAAGAGAAAATAATATAAACTCACCCTTTGCAGCTTTAACAAAAAACACCAGCATTTTTGTGGCTGCTGTGTTACGGTTACACTGCCCGATGCGTTGGCACCTTTCAGGTGCCGTGTGGTTCACACGCGGCTCAGTTAAATAAACCGCGCTGCGTGCCTAGGTGTCCCAGGCAGGTGCCTGCCTGTTTATATGTGTTTTCCCACCAGAAAACATTTATTCTAAATTATTTTCTATTTTGGGGTAAAAAAATTATTTTGCAGTTATATTAAAAGTAAGTATCTCCAAGGCAAAAATCTTAATGCCATGTACAATACTCACTGTTACAAAGGAGGAAACCTTGGATGCTCTGAACTGCCGAAAATCTGAGTTTCCCACCGTGGCCTGGCTCTGGGTCCAGACTCTGACGGTCCAGACTCTGACAGTCCAGACGTAGGAATTCGATGGAAGTTTACTTTTTAAAAAAAAATTTCAGTAAAACATAGGAATTGTTCAGGGAAAAGTTACTTTTTCTTAAGTCTTGTAAAAAGACAAAAAATTTCACAATATCAATAAAAATTATGAAATACCTGGAAATCAACTTCCTGTAGAACCTACATGAAGAAAAGTAGCAAATGTCACCAGTATAAGAGAATCCCAGCTGGGAGATCTAAACACGCCAAACATGTCCGTTCCCTGAAACTGCTGTCCAAGTTTAAACTGCTGTCCAAGTCCCTAATGGGACTGTTTTTAGGATAACTTGATTCATGAGATGGTCCCAAGGCTCCTGTAGAAATGCAAACAGAAACAAATACCAACAAATTTTCAAAACACGAGGTGAATGATGGAGGAATTTCCTTCCCAGAAGCATAGTAGAATGCCACAGTAATTAAATAGCACGCTAGTGGCACAAAAATAAACAGAAATATTCCAGAAGGGAGTTCAAACGAGACCATCGCGTTCGTAAATATCCATATAATCAAATGAGCGCTAGAACCATTGGTAAATAATTCAGGTATTTGGGAACAGTATTGAAGTGGACCCTCAAGAGTTAAATTGAAAAATAAAATATAAGAAAAACAAAGGTTAATGATCTCTAAATATACGAAGACAAACTATAAAAGACATTGCAAAAATTAAACCAAAAATAGATTACAATCATATCCAATTTTATGTTTTGCTCAAATCATCCTTACAAATTAAAAGGCAACTAATAAACCAGAAAAATATTTGCAACGAGTCAGACAGGTTTGTTATCTGCAGTAACCTGGATTCTGTGAAAATGGTGCAGGAGACACAGGTCTGCATGAGGTTGTCGACTTGGGGACCATTCTCAGGCAGCGAGGGCAGAGGCCGGAGCCCGCGACGGGAGGAGGAAGACCCAGTACAACCCAGAGAAACCAAGACTCACCCACCATCAGATGGATGGTCGTTTCAGGTGGCTCCAGCCACATCCCACTGGGCCCTTAGGAGCCTTGTGAAGTGCATCTCAGAACCATCCCACCCAAGGCTGAGAGCCGATGGGCTGTGGGCCTGTGGCCATCGGCCCTCACTTCTGGTTACTCGGGCATCAGTGCCCATGTCTATTCTGGCCAGAGAGCCCTCAGCACAGGAATCATGAAGCCTGAGGCATGGGCCAATGTGAGGATGCCCATGGGGAGCTGGGGGCCATCGCTGGCTCAGACGAAAGGTGGGGCCAGTGGGTTTTCAAAATGGAGCACAGGAGGGCCAAGCGGAGTCTGTTCTTTGAACTTCAGTGTCACTTGTACCTGCTGTTGAGTCCCCTCCAGCAGGATAGTCAGGTACCATTTCCACCTCATACCACAGGGTTAGTGGAGTTGGTGGAATGAGTTATTTTTCTTATTTGAGCAAGGGCCCTGCTGCTGGTGCCACGGGATAGTAGGTGCCACCACTGGGGCCGGCGCCCCGATTGGCACAGGACATACGTACCGCTGGCCAGCCCCAGGGCTCCATGGCACCCACCACTGCTGCTGCCCACATGTCTGCCTCTGACCCACTCTGTGCATTGCCAGCCCCGGGTCAGTGTCCACAGTGCCTGTGGCCGGTGTCTGGGTCAGCCGCCGCCAAGACTTGGAGAGCGGAGCCTCCTCCAGAGGTGGAACAGCAGGGCAGGCACCAGGAGCCCAGAATGTCAGCTGGCCACTCCAGGGGGGCTGCGGTGGACCTGCGCGGCCTCCTGGAGATGTCGGGGCGGTTCAGAACTGAGCTGTTCTTCCCGTCAGAAGTGGACATTGAAACCCTCGGTTTTGTTGTGGTCTTGTCAGATTTTCTTTAATTTGCTCTTCCTGGTCACGGACCGGCCTGGGAACTGTTCTGTTAGCCTAGTACAGGGGTGGGGAACCATTTCTCTGCCAAGGGCCTTTTGGATATTTATGACATCATTTGAAGGCCATACAAAATTATCAACTTAAAAATTAGCCTGCTATGTTTGGTCACACATTTAATGAACTCCCCCCTAATGTGATGGCTGGAACTGCTGCTCTCCGGTGGGGCCTTGGCAGGGCCGGGCCAAATGATTTCACGGCCACATACCGTAGCTCACGGGCAGGCGTTCCCCAGCCCTGGAGTGGAATTATGCTGTGACCAGCAGGTACAGACATCCCCTCCGTGCTCACTGAAATGGGAGCAGCAGTTTCTGTATTTTAGTGGCATATGGTGCTAAGGCTTCATCATAGTTTCTTATAAAGAGCCAGGAAACTTTCTCTGCTTAAAAATATGTGTTTATAAACAATGGGCGTGCAATGAACATCCCCATCTGTTAGGTGAACATAAGTTGTGTAGGAAATTCCTGTAATGGGTGGAGTACTTTGCAGCGTTTTTGTATATTTTTTCCCCTGGTGAGACGTTCAGCTAAAGATCTGGTTCAAAACAGCATATGCCTGACACTCAGCCAGCCTGCTTTCCTCCGCTGGTAGGAAGCAGCGCCGTGGGTGCACTAGTATGTAGGGTCACTGAAGACATTCGTAGGAATGTAAAATGTGGTTAAGATTTGACAAAAACGAGAAAATAGCACGAATAACAATTATATAAACGTGGTTATGCTGCAGCGATGAAACAGTTTCTATAGTTTCTCAAATATGTGCTCCAATAACTGTTATTTCCTTTCCAGAAACTTTCGTTGATTTCGTTTTAATGTAATCGCAAAACTCCTGCTACAATCATAGAACATAATAAAAATCGCTCATCCTTATAGTTTTGTTTGTAATTTAAATAAATAGCACCAATTCCTTGTGTTCAGTTTGATTATTCTGATTATATTCACTAATTAATTTTTTATTTGAGGTAAACCATTCCTCAGAAAAGAATGGAATTTTAAAGATTAAAACTCAGCAATATTTATCTCATAAAAGATTTTATTAACCTTGCCATGGGATCTCAGGATGGCCAGCTTAGGGAAAACATACTTTGATTAATATTTGCTTAATACCGAAATAGCCGTATTGTCCAAATGCTTTATTCACTTAAAAATTACGCCTCTCAGTCCCTTTTTCCGATTGACTAATGGACACACTTGAGTGAAAAGATGAGCAGTTAGTTGAACGTGAGTGATTTCAGCGTGTGCTTAGGAGCCGAGCCGTGAAGCGCATCACACGGCCTGGCCGCGAGGCTCGGCTGGTTGGGTGCCGCCCTGGGCACTGAAAGGTCGCGGTTCGATTCCGGCTGGCACAGGCCCGGGCTGCGGGCTCGATCCCCAGCAGGGGGCGTGCAGGAGGCAGCCAATTGCTGTTTCGCTCTCTCATCCATGTTCCTCTTTCCCTCTTTAAAAATCAAATTTAAAAAAAATTATACCATATGTGGTGCCTTCTCCCTGCTTCAGGTTACTCTGGTTATCCTTTGTAAGGGGCAGTATTTTTGAACCGACGACGACTACCCCCAGAGCCCCTTTTCAGTAGAGGACACCGTCACGGTACCTTCTCCTTTTCGGGAAATAGGCCGCCGCTCACTGGGCTTCAGCTCTCTCCTTCCCTGCGACAGACACCTTCCCTGTGCCAAAAGCGTCCAAGCCTCAGCCCTTAAACCCGACTCTTGGCTGGTGTGTGAGCGTGGCCTCGAAACCGGTTAACGTGCGCTCTCCTGCGGCGCCAGGGCCGGGCCTCGGAGCCGTGAGCTCGCTCTGAGCGGCTCTGGGCCGTACATCCTGCTTGCTTGCGGATCCGAAGCACCCTACGTTACGAAACTAACAGGAAACCTAACAAAGCAGGGCTTTCATGGGAACTGTCTTCCAGACGCTTTTTTCCCCTATAAAATTTTACGGACGTTTTTTGAAAGGTGCTGATTCGAGGGATGATTACTGACNGAGGGATGATTCCTGACAGTCACAGGAATGGAAAATACAAATGAAATGACCTTTCAGCCGCCCAACAAGGCTTTAAAATTAATATGGGGCCAGGTATGGAGAAGAAAGAAAGGGAAGCCAGTGGGGGTTGGGCGACGCCCGCGTGGCGAGGGGGGGAGGGGCACGGCGACACCGGCAGGACGTTCCTGCTGCCTTTGCCTGAAGGACACCTGTATGTCGTCCTGAAAGCCGTTTTTAAGCTGATGAGTGACATGCACATTATGATAAAACTCTTGCCAGTTCTAGAGATAATTTTTAGAGATTCTGAGATAGGACTATAAAATGTGTTGAGAGGNCTAATGACACCTGTATGTCGTCCTGAAAGCCGTTTTGAAGCTGATGAGTGACATGCACATTATGATAAAACTCTTGCCAGTTCTGGAGATAATTTTTAGAGATTCTGAGATAGGACTATAAAATGTGTTGAGAGGTCTGGTTCAAGTGTAATAATTTAGCTTTTTACAGTCCCCGTTCCTTCTGCCGGCATGAGGGACATCTCCTGCGTGCTTGGCACGAACAGGACAGACCCGGATCCCGGTCACGGAGCGTGTGTAGCTGGTTGGGGCACCGAGACGGACTAAGGCATCTCTCAAGTGAGCCGCGGCTGCGGGCAGGGTGCTGCTCAGGGCAGGGCGCGCAGACACTGTTGACCAAGAACAGCCTCTGTGGAGCCATCCCTGGCGAGACGCCGGCTGCTCCGCAGGCCCCGCTAATACCTGTGTCTGCTGTTTGCAGGTACATCATCCCGTCCTTGGGGAGGCTGGACGCCGGGTCTTACCGCTGCACCGTGCGGAACAGGATGGGGGCGCTCCTGCAGAGGAGGTCGGAGGTCCGCGTCGCGTGTACGTGTCCGCCGAGCTCCCCTCGCCGGGAACAGCGTGGGGTGCTAGTCAGAGCGTCCCCTCCGGCCGCCCCAGGGACTGAGATACAGTCCTTGCTAACGTTGGCTGAGCGATAAGTAACTTGCCCATGTAGCTGGCCCGACGGTGACGATGAGGCTTAGGTGAGGGCCACCTGCTCCGTTCAGCCGATCGAGGGCCCCTAAAAAATAAAGGGTAAAAAATAAAGACAGAAAGTGCGAAATGCCCTCTACTTTATGAGTGAGTTAGCTGCTCTTAGTTTTCATTATATTCAGATGTTTTTAGCATAAGAAAATTAAAGCAAATCAGGTAAAATTTCATCAAGTTAGAGTCAGTTTTCCCAATGACAATGTGTTTAGAAATCCTTTGGCTGCAGAACAAAAAGTGGGTGGACAGGGATGTCCTGATGGTATTGATGCTCCCGTGGTGTAACTGACTCCCTGTTGGGCAGCCCATTTTAGAGAAGGGCACTGGGAAGTAACTGAAGGAGCCACCCAAGCGCAGGGAGCTTGGGTTCTCGTGTAGCTGAAGGGGAGAGACGTTGGCCTGTGCAAGGCATTTAGTACTTTTCCAGCCCCAAATCTGTGACAGGTTCATCCATCTCAAGTGGCCTCTCTGCCTCATTATATTGTGAATTTGCTACCAGAATGTCTCTTCCTTTCAAAGAGAGCAAAGGGTGTTACGAAATTTTAAATCCCCATGAATAGATTGTAGCAGATGTCAGAGAACGAACCCTCGTGAGCTCCTAGGCTGGACCCTGCTCACCAGACAGGGCAGCCTTCCGTCTTCGAGTTCCCACCACGGTTAAGGCCTGCAGTTGTCAGGGTTGCTACATAAAGTAAAATGACTTCTAGTTCCTTTGCTGCCCTGGAATTACTAGTGACCGGGTGAGATGCAGATGCTCACGCATCACTTCATCGTAGCAATGTCGGGGACCGCTGTGAAATTGTCATTTCCATCTGGGGCCCCTCCCCCTCCAAGTCTTCTAGCACTGACAGGGCCTGGTTTTTCTCTGCAGATATGGGAAACTTCCTGGATACAGACCAGAGGAAGACAGTTCCGCAAGGACAGGCAGCCGTCCTGGACCTACTGCCCCTCAGCAGCTACCCTAGACCGCAAGTGACCTGGTTCAGGGAAGGACACAAGATTATTCCCAGCGACAGAATGTGAGTCATCCCGAGCGTCCAGGCTTAAAATGCAGACCGCTGCACCTGTCGGCGCCGTTCATACGTTAGGTTGTCCAGCCAGTCTTAGAATAACCTCGTCAGTGGCCCTGCCCCAGCTCTTAGAAAGCAGCGACGTCAAGCCTGGCTTGGAAACGCGAGAGAGATTAGAAAGCGGTCAGGTGCCGTGATTCCTGTGTTTGCCGCACCCCCGTCCTCTCCCCTTGCAGCCACGTCTCCCTTCCTGAGTGCCCCTCGGGGACATTGCGGTCAGCCTGGTGTGTTCGGCTCTGAGTACTGGTGCAATGACTGGCGTCGTTTACTTGCAGAGCTGTGGGTTGTCCTCTTACTGAGTGTGTTTGACGCTACTTCCTCTGACGACAGTGCAGTAATTACTGCTTCCTTCTCTCTACTCCTCTCTCCTGCCCTGGCAGTTTTATGTCCTCCGTCCAACTAGTGGTTCACTCGTCTGTTGCAGAAAAGTTGTGTTGTGGTTAGTTGAGCATTAATTCAAGGTCTTCTCACTTGTCCTACATTCAGCGTATTTATCTAATGGCAAACAGGTTTTCTTCATTTTGCTTTAAGTGATTAGAAAGGACACTGGGCATATATTTCCTAGCTGTGCATTTTGCAATGTGATATAAAGACGGTAAACCAAATCTAAAGGTTTCAGAGGTGAACATCCATCCAAAAGAACCGGAAATTGTATGAGCTCGAGCTACAAGTCAAGTATTTATGCCAGCAGATGATTCACTGAGATAAAAATCTCAGGAGAAGCGAATGCTCGTGTTTTGTTTTTTTCTAAAAGAGTGTGTGTGACACAACTTGCTGAGTAGGTGTCAGATGTGACCAGGAAAGTAACCGTGGGTTCTAAGCTTGCTCCCCCAACCTGAGCAGCGTGGAGCCCCGTCCTAAGCCCAGCCTCACCCCTTCCCACCCAGGCATCTGAACCCTGCACAACCCTAGACTGTGCTTAGTTTCTCTGGCAAGTGTTTCTATTTTGGCGACTGGAAACAGGAAAAAATTTGAAATATATGTAAAAGCCATATTTTTAAATTCTAGTGAAAAGATCAGTTACCTTAGAAATGGGATAACTGCTGTCCTTTGTTTTATTAAAAGTTGCTTGGGTGGCCACCTTTATAGCAATTCCAATGATAGCAAACGCCTCTTGTGTTGAGGCGAGACAAGAATGAGGGATCAGAAGACTGGCTGGGCAAAAGGCAGCTAAGGCAGAGTCCTGTGAAGTGTTCCAGAAGGTTCCAGTGTTGAGCAAGTTGAGCTGAGTCCTGGGAAGGCTGGTGCTCGGGAGGGGGGAAGATTGACTGGAGCTTCCTCTCAAACACCAAGCTTCTAATGAACGGCACTGGGACCACAGTTCCTGGTGGAAGGAGTGTTTTCACTCGGCAGCAAATGATTATAGGGTAACTCACTTGTTAACCTGGGATCTGCACATATTCATGAGATAACGTTTATCCAAGAAGGAGGGAAGGATAGAGGATGAAAGACCAACTCTTAATTTATAAATAGCTTTTTTCTTTCACTTGCAAATTTTGCTCAAGACTGATTAATTCCCGGTGAGCTAATAATACAAAGACTCTAGTGTGGGTTTAGCTCAGCGCCACCTCCAACAAAGGGCCTGCGTACAGCCTTGAAACTGTTGACAGATCTCCGTCCCAGGAGGAGAATAAGCCCGCGCCCTTTTTAGTAAAGAGCAGAGATGAGGCTGATTTGGGCATTTACACTTTGCAAGGCCCTTCAGCTTCATAGTTTCCAGCTCATCGACACCCTCGTGTTTATTAAGTACCTGCTGTGCAAGGTGCCATAAATCAGTCCCAGCGTGGTTTCCTCCCCACGCTTGTACGTTCAGAGGCGCATCACTTGCCACTGCTAAGAAAGTTCAGAGGCTGCAGGTGGGAGGGCATTTCTGCGTTGCCTGTTGGAGGCTTGGCGGACAGTCAGACCCCCTGGGTCTGTTCTGCACCAGGGGGTCATCTCAAACCCGGAATGTTCAGCTCAGAATGTCTCACACTCTGCACCTGCTTCTTACCTGACTGTCCTAGGTCAGCGTCGTGACCCAGCTGTGTGTCCTGGGGAGGAACAGCTTCATCCCCCTACCCCGCCCCAACTTTCAGCATTATCTCACGACCTTCCAAATGTCAGCTCTAGTCTTGCAATTAAATGATTTATTTTCATTTCCAAGGGAAACGGTAAGTCTAATGTTTCCATACTTGAAAAATTAGTTGCATAGCCCATTACTAAATTTAACTGCAGCTATTATGTATCGAGTCCCTCCTTTAAATGTATCTTCTCTAATCCTTATAGCCGCCTTCGGAGGCAGGTTTAACAACTCCACTTAAGGCTCTTGGAACTGGAGATGAGAGATGCTAAACGACTTACCCACGGGCACAGAGCTGGCAGATGGCAGAGCTGGGATTCAAACCCAGGTCTGCCCGACTGATTGCACCCTATCTGCATCAGGCCAATTCTTCTTTTTACTTCATTCGGCTGAACCTTCTTCGTGCTTTTGACTTATTTATTTTTTTATGCACTGCTTTGGTCTTTTTCTCTCTCCTTCTCTACAACACCAGCTTCCAATGTGAAATACCAGAGGTTAGGATGGGTTACGTGAGTCACGGGCACACACAAACTCACGTGCCCACATCAGTGCAGAGTGTGCCTGTGTATGCAAATGGGTCCCTTTGTATGGGGCCTCCTGGTCCCTACCTGTAGAAATTTTTGACAAAGAGGAGGCGGCAGTGGCCTTCCAGTAAGTCAGGGACTTGGTGAAATTCGGAGGTGGGGACGGAGATGGGAAATCTCTCTGTGAAGGGATCCCCACGAGGGGGAACCAGAGATGTGTGGTCACCACGTGCAGGCCCGGCTCCTGCTCTTGGGCAGCCTCTTTGCTCCCGAGCGAGACTCTCGTCGGATGAGGAGGTTTGGACCGTGTAGGAGAAGCGGCAGCAGAAACACACCCTCGTTCCCAGAAGAGCAGCTGGTGAGCGTCCCAGTGACGGCCCCTGAGAAGGTCTGCATGAAACTCGAGACTCGGCTCTGGGGGGTGGACACGCAGTGCAGTGTCCAGGTCACGTTACAGAGCCGTCCACTTGGAACCTGTGCAGCTTCGTTAACCAACGTCACCTAATAAATTCAGTAAAAATTAAAAAAAAAGAGAAACACGTACAGAGTTCTGACTGCAGCATGGGCATTTTCCCCATTCATTCACCAAGCACCAGGGGAGGGCACACTCTGTGCCAGGGGCCATCCCAGGCTCTGGGTAGGCGGCACAAACGAAAGAAAGTCCCCAAGTGCAGGGCACCTCTGTACAGGCGGAGCCAGGAGAGGGCTGGAGACGAGGCTGTCGAGGTGTCTGGGCCAGGTCTTCAGAACCAGGCTACTCGGCTGTGGCGTGGACTTTGGCCATTACCGAGGGTCTGAGCAGAACAGGGACACAGCCTCACTTATGACTCTTCTGTTAGGAATTAGCTTGTGGGGGACAGAATCAGGACGCAGGAGGCTGGTGGGGTCCACAGTCGTCAGGGTGGTTGGGGAGCGGTGGTGAGTGTCGGGTGCTGATGTGTTTTGAGAGTGAAGTCGGTAGGCTGTCCCTCTGACTGGACCTGGGGTATGAGAAGGAAGGGGGCGACGGACACCTCTAGGAATTTCAGCCTGAGCCGCTGGCAGGGCAGAGTTACCCCTGGGGAGACCACGTGGGCGGAGCAGGTTTTGTGGGTGTCTGGGGTTGGCAGTGGCGTCTGAAGTTTGTTTGGGACGTGTAGGTTTGAGACGCATGCGGACAGGCAGGAGGATCTCAGGACTGGATGGGCGTGCACTTCAGACTGGGAGTCGGCGAAGAGGGGGTGTTGGTGGAGTCGGTGCAGGTGGGGCCCTTTAAAGCTCTGTGAACTTTGCAAGCCAGTGAGCGAAGCCTCGGAGTCACAGAGGGTGTGTGGCCAGGAAAGAGACAATGCACCGAGCACGTAGAGAACACGGAACCGAGCCAGGAGAGGACAGGGCCGTCACCAGGCTGCTCCCAGCCCACGGAGCAGGGAGCAAGTCAGCTTCCCTGGCCTCCCGAGGTGGTGCAGGCCCTAGTTTCTGAGACTTGTGGGAGTATGTTAGGTAACGGGCGCAGGGGGGTCAAGGCAGCAGAAGCCATAGGGAGCTAACAAAGTGGGACAGAAGGAAAAGGCCATGTCTTACCACCCTGCAGTCTGGTGTAGTGTCTGGGCCCTGTGGCCTCACACACCAAACGCCGGCNTCTTACCACCCTGCAGCCTGGTGTAGTGTCTGGGCCCTGTGGCCTCACACACCAAACGCCGGCAGCTCTTCCTCTCCACACCTGTCTTCCGACGTCAGCTGTGAGTCTCGGTCCCGCTCACACGTGTAGGTCCTGCCTCCTCAGGTACTGGGCGCCCCCTGGGTGCTGACCACCGAGAACCTCTGTTTCTGTAAGTCCAGCTGGCCCGGTGCTGTGCATAACAGATGAGCGACATGGCAAAGGCTGGACGAGCGAACGAATGAGTGAGTGAGGGTGAAGCAGAGTCACGTAACAGCTGTAAACCTCCTCGCCAGAAGGGGAAAAAGCGTAACAGACCCAGGAGGATCACCATCAGTGAAGGGCACTCTGAGCTGGAAAGGCAGGCGATGCTGTGAGAAAGTTACACTCAATTCTGAGTGGGTGATGGTAGGTTTCGTTTATGTGAGAAGATGAAAAAACACGTTTATTTTCTGATGCACCAAATCCAAACAGTTATTTTGCTTTCTTTGCATTTCAAAGATGAGTATAGCCTTGTCCTTAAAAAATGGAGTCTAGTTTGATGCTAAAATTGTTCTGTGTTATCTCAGTTAGATGTCTGTTCTTTGTTTCCCTCTATTTCTCAAAACACGGCGTGTGAGGTTGAGGGCACGTGGCACCCCTCTTACCCCCGGGAGGTCAGCCACAGCGGCAGTTCCAGGGCAGGGCGCGGCCACTCGCCCTGTGCGATGCCGTCCCTCTGCCT